ACTTTTCTTTTATCATATAAGCCATAATTAGAAAAATGAAATTTATTCACTGAGATGTATTGAAATAGAAGTTGTGCCACTTCATTCTAAAGGAAGGATTCACATCATAATGCATATGATATTCTTCTTTCAGAAGTGCTTGCTTGTTACCTGTGAACAAACTGGATATCATTTCCAATGTTACATTATCATAGTTACAGAGAAGTGTGCAGTTACCAAATCACCAATACCTCAAAACTCACAGTAAACTAAAGCAATCACAGTAGATTGATCTAAAAATTAGAATAGGAAAAGAGCAAAGAATAAATGAATTCTGATTTTGTCAATGTCTCATATCCATGTTTTAGATCATGTAACATAAGAGCTAAAATGTAATTTTCACCAATATTCTCAATGATGTATCTCCAAGAACACACAAGAAGATTTCCTGCTTTATCCTACTCTCCTTATCACAAATCTTGGCATTTTCTGCAATTTTAAATTCTTACTTCATCTTTCTTTTTTCATGTATATCCAGGTCCTTTGAACTCGCCTTCCAAAATACTTTAAACAATCTTCTTTCATTTTTCCCATTTCTCATGACTGTTCTGGTTTGTCATATATCCAACTTACCTCCAACCTTTCAGCTCTTTCCTTGTCTTCTGATCCCTCCCTATTTTTTCTACTGCACCGTGATCAAATTAACTCTATGACATGTATATGCAGGTATGTGTTTCTCTTGGTAAATAATACTCCACTTCTCACTGTTGTCTATTACAGTGATTCCCAGTGAGAAAAGCTATTATATAATAAATTTAATTATATATTAAAATATATTAATTATATATTGTGTATTAATAATACATAAATTACTTTATAGCTAACTATATATATATAATATTAAATATTTATATTAGAAATATGAAATATAATATATAATATAAATTATATATTATTATATAATATAATGTATAATAATATTAGTAATTACATGTTATATATTAATAATGTATAATTAGTGTATTAATTACATGTTATATATTAATAATGTATAATTAATATAGTAAATTACATGTTATATATTAATGTATAATTAATATAGTAATTATATATATAATACAATTAATATATATATTATATATAATAATAATATATATAATTAATATCTATAGTATATGTTTAGATATCAGTTTACTGTTTTCTTGTCTGTCTGGTTTCGATATTTGATATTAGGGTAATACTAGCCTTATAGAATGAATTATGACTTATTTCCTCTTTTTCTATTTTTTGGGTAGCTTTTGAAAGATATGTATTAAATTTGCTTTAAATGTTTGTGGAATTCACCACTGAAACTATCTAGGACTGAGTTTTTCCTTGTTGTAAGATTCTTTTTTTTTTTTTTTTTTTCCTGAGACAGGGTTTCACTCTGTTGCCCAGGCTGGGCTGAAGCAATCCACCCACTTCAACCTTCCAAACCTTTGTAATCCAAACCTACAATTACAGGTGTGAGCCTCCGTGCTCAGCCTGTTGTGAGATTTTTATTTACCAATTCAATCTCCTTGCTTATTATAGATCTCCTCTCATTATCAATTTCTTCTTGAGTCAGTTTTGGTAGTTTTCATCCTTCTGAGAATCAGTTAATTTCATGTAATCTATCTAATTTGTTAGCATACTTTGTTCCTAGTACTACTCCCTTATAATCTTTCTTATTTCTGGAAGGTCAGTAGTGATGTCCCATCTTGCATTCCTGACTTTAGTAATTGGAGTATTCTCTCTTACTTTCTACACCAGTCTTGCTAAATGTCATTAATCTTGTTAGGGAAAAAAAATAGTTAAAATGAAAAATAATGTATTTATGTAGTCTTCTGTATTTACCTGCATATTTTTTGTTGTTGTTGTTTATGTGCATTTGAATTACTGCTTTGTATCCTTTAATTTCAGCCTGCAAGACTTGCTGCAGAATTTCTTGTAGAGCAGGTTTGCTAGTGACAAATTTTCCCCATTTTTATTTATCCGGGTATATCATTATTTCTTCTTGTTTTTTCAAAATCGTTTTGCTGAATCTAGAATTTTTAGTGGACTGTCTTTTTCTTTTTGCACTTTGACTATGTAAACCCATTGCCTTCTGCCTTCCAAGGTTTCTAGTCATTTTTTCTCTTGATATTTTCAAGTTTTTTTTTTTCTTTATCTTTGACTGTTGACAGTTTGAGTATGATATGTCAAGGTCTGGATCTCTTTGAGTTTATTTAACTTAGAGTCTATTAACTTAGAGTTTATTGTACTTGATTTGTTCTACTCAGAATTTGAGTGTGTAGGTTAATATTCTTCATCAAATTTGAGAAAATTTTAGATGTTGGTTTTTATCAAGTATCTTTCAGACTCTTTATCTTTCTCATATTACTAGAATTCCTATTATGCATATGCTGATATTCTTGATGGTGTCCCACAAGGCGCTGAAGCTCTGTTTACTTTCTTCACTTTTTTTTCTTTACATTCCTCAGACTGTGTGATCTCTATTGACAGATCTTTGAGTTCACCAGTTTTCTCCTGCTAGTTCAAATCTGTTGCTCAGCTCATCTAGTGATGTTTTCATTTCAGTTATTTACTTTTCCTCTCCAAAATTTCCATTTGGTTCATTTTTGTATTTGTAATTTCCATCTCTTTATCACTATTTTCCACTTGGTGCGATGTCATTATCACACTTTCCTTTAATTCTTTAGATATTCTTTATCTACTAATCTGAGACCCCTTAAGGACATTTTTCTGTTGACTGCTTTTTTACTGCTAATGTGGCAAATTTTTTTTATTCTCCCATCTCAAACTGATAAAGGTCTAAAAATACGTCAGCAAAACACATTCAATAGCAAAATGTTGAGAGATTTCCCTCTGATATGGAATATGTTAAAGGTTACCTACTAACAATATTATATACAAATCTTAGACAATGGAGTAATGGAAGGATCAGAAATGAAATTATGTGGATAGAAATATCTTTTACATTTAGTTTTTAAAATTTGACTATGCTATATCTAGATCTACATCTCTTTGATTTTGTTCTACTTAGAGTTTGTTCATAGAGATTTAATCTGTAGGAATAAAATTACATTTGTGGAAGTAAATCCAAAATTACTTACAAGAAGTATAACTATGTATTGGAAAATTCAAAAGAACCTATAAATAATGTATTAGAATTAAAAAGTATGTTTAGTAAGGTTGGTCTATCTAGGAACCTTGCTACAAATACAAAAATATAAAAGTAAAAATGCTAAATTTAAAAACATTTTTCATACCAGCAACAAACAATAACAAAATGTGAAAAGGTACCTATTCCCTTTTCCTTTCTTTTCCTTCCTAGACAATTCAGTACTAAAGCCATCATGTAGGGTGGAGCAACGTTGCTATCTGCTTGGGGAAGGGGTGGCTTGGCGTGGAATCTAGGAACCAGAGCAGCGGGAGGAAGAAACAGGCCCATAGGAAACATCCACTATGTGGCCTCAGGCCTGTGCAGAGGAGGAGGCCCGGTGGGCGGCTCAGAGTACAAGCAAGGTACAAAGGGTGTCCAAGCATTGGGGTGATGCAAAGTGGGACATCAAAGCCTGGGTGTAGTAAACAGGTTAAGCAGAGAATCTAGGCAGACAGATAGGCTGGCCCATGGGGCCTGAACCTGCAGGGACCCTAAATAGGATGAGGAAGGCACCTATGCAAAGGGTAAAGGGTGCTGGGCAGAATGGGATATTAGTTACAGCTGGGGATGGACCAAATAAGTAAATCAATTCAAAAGAATGACAGTGGGTTTTGTAAGGTGGCAAAATGAATGAACAAATATAGAAAAAGAGAAGAAAGCTAAAATAACACTGTAATGTTGGATCAGAATTAGAAATGTCAGTGCATACTAACATATTTCAAACTGTAAAGATAGAGATGTGTGCACACATCTCTATGTATGTATATACATATATGCATAATAAACTTCTATATATTCTATATATTCCCTAACTTTGTCCATTGCAGGCCTAGGAGTGGCCATATTCCCAGTGGTGCACAGACCTTACATTATCAATATACATTTTCATACTATTAGTATACATTTTTAATACTATTTTCTACAGAAAGGAAAGATGGATCCTTGGATAAAGGGCTGATTCTTAGGTCGGTCCAGGAGAAGTAAAAAATGTTCCAGAAATATCTTGTTATGTATTCTTGAAAGCACAAAGATGCTCAAGCAATGAATATTTCAAAAGAACCATTTTGAAAGTATACCTGTTGGTCAAATTGAGGACAATTTGAGCATCAGAATAAATTAAATAAGTAAATGGAATTCTAATCCATTAGGTAAGAGGGAAAACCATGAATCTCCAATGATGTGCATCTCTACATACATACAGACAAGATATTTACCTCATTTGAAAATACCTCCCCACAGAAAACACTCATTAAGTAATTACTAAGGGAAAAAAGAATAACTTCACAGTGGATAAGGCTGGCAGACACCACATTCATCAAGTAATCAAGGCAGTAATCATTAGTAATAGAACAAATCAAAATTGCAAGCCTCCTGATAGAATACAAGAGAACAACAGAGCATCACTACAGTTTTATTTCTCATGAAATGCAAATCCTGAACCCACTTCTGAAGAAATATCAGACAAATCCCAGTGAGGAACATTCTAAAAAATCACTGGGTCATGATCCACAAAAGTGCCAAGTTCAGCAAAGTCAGTGACTAAGGATCTCAGTTTCTGACAACTGAATGCGACATGTAAATCTGAACTCGATTACGTTGCTATAGGATGTCGCTGGGAGAACTAGACACGTAAATAGGATCTGAGGACTAAATATTATTAGCATGCCAATGTTAGTTTTCTGATTTTGATAGCTGTAGGAGATTTTGTGTTTATGTAGGAGAGCATCATTGTTCACAGGAAATGAACACTGAACTATTTAGGGGTAATGGGACATCAGGTAAGCAAACTACTTTCATAAGGTTCTGAGAGTAAAATATCTGTCCTTGCTTCTCCGAGAAAACACCAAACGGCGGATGATGCAGGTGCAGCCGGGGGGCCCGGAGGCCCTGGTGGGCCTGGGACGGGGAACCGCGGTGGCTTCCTCGGAGATTTCGGCAGTGGCATCCGGGGCCGGGGTCGTGGCCGTGGATGGGGCCGGGGCCGAGGCCGAGGCCGAGGCCACGGAGCTCGCGGAGGCAAGGCCGAGGATAAGGAGTGGATGCCCGTCACCGAGCTGGGCTGCTTGGTCAAGGACATGAAGATCAAGTCCCTGGAGGAGATCTACCTCTTCTCCCTGCCCATTAAGGAATCTGAGACCATTGACTTTTTCCTGGGGGCCTCTCTCAAAGACGAGGTTTTGGAGATTATGCCCGTGCAGAAGCAGACCCGTGCTGGCCAGCGCACCAGGTTCAAGGCGTTTGTTGCTATTGGGGACTACAACGGCCACGTCGGCCTGAGTGTTAAGTGCTCCAAGGAGGTGGCCACCGCCATCCGTGGGGCCATCATCCTGGCCAAACTCTCCATTGTCCCCGTGCGCAGAGGCTACCGGGGGAACAAGATGGGCAAGCCCCACACCGTCCCTTGCAAGGTGACAGGCCGCTGTGGCTCTGTGCTGGTGCGCCTCATCCCTGCACCCAGGGGCACTGGCATCGTCTCAGCGCCTGTGCCCAAGAAGCTGCTCATGATGGCTGGTACTGATGACTGCTACACCTCAGCCCGGGGCTGCACTGCCACCCTGGGCAACTTCGCCAAGGCCACCTTTGATGCCATCTCTAAGACCTACAGCTACCTGACCCCTGACCTCTGGAAGGAGACTGTGTTTACCAAGTCTCCCTATCAGGAATTCATTGACCACCTTGTCAAGACCCACACCAGAGTCTCCGTGCAGCGGACCCAGGCTCCAGCTGTGGCTACAACATAGGGTTTTTATACAAGAAAAATAAAGTGAATTAAGCCTAAAAAAAAAAAAAAAAATCTGTCCTTAAAACTTTTCTGTAACTTTATCGTTGGTTCAAATGTTTTAAAAAATGAACCAAAGTACCAAAATAGCATTTTTAAATAATGCGTATTTTTATTAAAAATGGGCAAGACACCGTCATGTTAATCAAGTCAATTTTCTATACAGAAAAATATATAACATCAATAAAATAAATGGAAATGGAAATATATGCAATGATGTTAGTTCTTTCCCATAGTGTTAGGTAGATAACATGAAGCCCTAATAGAGTTTCCAGAAAATTAATATTTTGGTGGAAATTCACAAGTTGTTTCCAGAATGTATACAGATGAAAATGGCCAACATTAAGATAAGCTACTGGGTTTTGAACAGTTTACAAAGTCATAGTAATTAAAAGAACGTGTTATTGATACAAGGAGAGATAGAAATAGAATAGAACAGGATAAGAGGCCAGAAATAGAGCCTCTTATAAGTGGACATTTTTATTACAACGAAGTTTGTACCACAGAGCAGTAGAGAAGGAGCAGGTGTTTTCAAAAAATTATGCCTGGTCAACTGGATATCCACTTGGGGAAAAGCAGAATGACTTCTGCCTTGCCACCAAGCAATCCATACCTTGTGCATTGCCAATCTAAATGTAAGAGGAAAACCCCTATTACAGAGCCCCTTGATCAGTGTTGCCAATAGAACTTGTATGGTCATGGAAATGCTTCACATGTGAACCCTCCAAGATGGTAGCCACAGCCACATACTGGTTTTGAGCAGGTGAAATATGGCTAGTGTTAACTCAACCACTAAATTTTCACTTTGTTTTTATTTTACCTAATTTATGTTTAAATATCCACATGTGGCTAATGGCTACTTATATTAAACAGTACAGTTCTAGATAATAAGGGAAGAGAATATCTTTATGTCCTTGGGGTAGGCAGATATTTCCTGATAGAACACAAAAGTATTCTCCATAAAGGAAAAAATTGGCAAATAAGAGCTTCTTCTCATTAGAAGACATCATCAAGGAATTGAACGTAAACCAACACGTAGGAGTTACTGCAACACACATAGTTAACAAGTTCTCAGTCCTGAATCAATAAAGCCTTCCCATAATCATTAGAAACTTACCAAAGAAAATGAAAGTGGAGTAAATGGACAAATGGCTTGAACAAGCACTTCAAAAAAAGGATAGCCAATGAAGTAGTGCTTCATATCAGTGTCATCAGGGCTCTTCTAATTGAAACCACCATTAAATATCACTACACACCCACCAGAAAGGCTGAAGTTTGTAAGACCCACAGGACATGTGGCAGGGATGGGGAGTGACAGTCGCACTCCAATGGTGGTAAATTGGAACCCACTTTATAAAACAGGTATTATCCACTAAAATTAAATGTATGCAAGCCTTATAAACATTAATTCCACTCTAATGGACATGTCCAATGTAAACACATGCACATGTGTGCCGAGAGTCTTGAGCAAGATTTGTAGAATATTCCTCAACTTGGATTTAGCTGATATTTTCTCATGACAAAAAAAAAAAAAATCATAGTACGTGGTAATAAACTGTGAAATACAATGAGTATTACAAAGTAATGAAAAAAACATCACTGCATGCAACAACCTGAAGAAAACCTGCAAACATAATATTCAGTGACAGAACAAGATACAAAGGATACATTCAAATGATTCCTTTGGTGTAATCTTCAAAACAGGTGGTATCTGTCCATCGTAGTCAAGGAGGGGAGGCTATAACTATGAGAGGACAGGAAGGGGCCTCCAAGGTGAGCAGAGTGTGCAGTTTCAGGCCCTGGGTAGTGGATACCTGGGTTTGCTCCCTCGTGATCATTCATTCAGATGCATGTTTATGATTGCTTACTGCCTTTTGGTTGGTTACAGGGCAATACAAATTGTAACATCATTACTGTAAATTCCTAATCATATATTTATAAAATGTACATGCTGTGTGATTTCTTCCCATAAGCCAGCTATCCTAAGCCTAGTTTTATGACATTGCTACTCCTGCCAGTTTTTTCAAGAGCATGGTTGAATGTTTCCATAATCCTCAAAATTAAATTTATTCTTTTGAAATAAAAAATAAACTTGGTGTTATTATTTCAGTGATGCTGAGAATATTATAACATTCCACAATAATTCATTCTTTTAGTTTTTTCCCACAGAGAATTTTAACTCTGCATCCCCTAAAATAGTGGCAGGCACTGCTTTAAAAGAATGAACTGGCTTATTCTGTCAAATGGTGATCGAACCCATTTTAAATTTGCAGGATGAATTTTATGGTGCTGACAGCTTTTATAAATGATTTCTGGGCTAAAATATTGAATTAGTGTTATTATCCTTCAGTGTGTCATTAGATGTTTAACGAATGTTTTTAACACAGATAACAATGGATACAGTTATCCTGGTAGACATATAAAAGAAACCATTATCTCACCACTTTAATGTCCTTCTTTGCTTTAGTTCTCTTAAAATCCTTCCAAAAGAAAAATGTGTCTACCTCTCTTCATTCTTCATGCCTCTCCGGGGCTCACATTAGTTGCTAATTGCAGTTTCCTGTTTTATCTCTTTTGGTCCACAGGGATCACAGATCTTTTTGTGACTTCTTCTCTGTAATACCAGGCATTACTTGGTATTTATTTTCAACATATATAATGTGCCACCACTGTCAAGGGAAAATTTCTCTTAGATGAAAAAATTCCATAAAAATAGATGCTTGCATTTTAATTGTAGGTGATATGGCTACTCTTATTCTTATCTATGCCAGGGTTAAAAAATAAGAAGAGCAAAATAAAAATGCAATAGGAAAAAGGCTAAACCATAAGCTCATACACACTCTGTCCTGGTGTAAGCTGTAATAACTGACCACAGCATGAGACATTAGCAGTGAATTAGATCAAAATGCTATTTTTTCTAACATTAATAGTTCATAGTAGTCCTCATATAAAATCCAAAGACTTGAGTGTTTTTTGAATTATGATTTTTCTGGAAAACATTGCCTTAAATTTCATTTGTGGCATTTTGAAATATATTCCAGTGAAACCTGGAAAGAACTGTGTTTTCCACACACTTTCCCACCTTCCCAGTCTTTCTCATTCCCTTTTGCTATACAACCTCCCTCTTGCTTACAAAATGGAGTCTTTATTTTTTTTTTTAACAAATTGAGGTATTTCTGGTCTATCAAAACAACAGATTAAAAAAAATCAAAAGATATTTCCACTAAACAGCCCACTACTAATACAGTATAGAGAGTTTTGTCATACTTCAGTAACCGTACAAAAAAATTACCTGTTTCTCTTATCGAAATGAATTGCATCCTTTTGGTAGAGTTTCAGCTTCCTGGCATAGCAAGAAAACCGACAATTCACTCCTTGGCAGAATTGTTCCTGCATTGTGCCATCTGATACGATCCATTAATGCCATTGGAGAGCTGTCACAACCAGCACTTATGATGTGTGTGTTTGTGTGCATTTTATTTCTATCTTAGAGGGAAAGAAGGAAAGGAATTTCTCCTCTTCTAATTAGTAAAAAATAAACAATATTTTCTTTGAATATTCTTCACACTTTGTTCTATCATTGGAACCAAAGAAGTAGAAAAAATGTACGATATTTCTTGTAGCATTTTTTAATGGAGACACTGGGATCATCGTGATTTCTATAGTGTCTGAGCTGAAGCTGTTAACGCACCACTTTAAACAAAAACTTTAAATTTTGTGTTTTTTTCCTCTGCCATGTCTTTAACTTTGTGAATTTTCATACTTGGTAAAGTTGAAGAAGACAAAGGAAAAGTAATTGCACCTGGAAGTTTACCTCTTTGCTGAATTTCTTTAGTTATTATTTCAGCTATTTGCACTTTGAAAAAGAATTTTCCTCCCACATGAAATGACTTTTCCATCTGCCTGAACTTCTGGAGATAAAAAGTGAAAAAAGTGCCACAGATTTCATACCAGAACTGTAGTGTGGGGCTGTGAGGTTCACGTGTGTAGGAAATAATGAGGCTTCTTTTGTTTTGTTTCTGTTTTTGTTGCTGCTGCTTTAGCACAATTGAATCCAAATAGAAAATAGAGATAAAAAAGGAAATGCAAGTCAAAGGTAATTGGGGGTTCGCTTTGTGTCATGAGACAGTTGTTAGCCCTTTTCCAAAGCTGATGTTATTGTTAGGTTTTTACCTGTCTGTTTAGTAAAAAGGTACAAAAAGAGTTGAAATAACAATAAGTTAACATCGATTTAAAATCCAGGTCCTTCAGTTGGAAATTCAGAAAGATTCCCTAGGACTCCTTATTTACTAAAGATTTTTAAAATGTAAAAGTCTAGCCATCAATCTTTCTGAACATGACACTTTTCAGCCACGCCAGATTTTTCAGGCTGCCACTAAAGGAATCAAACAAGGGTCAGAACAGAGTAAACACAGAAACTGTGAAAAGAAGAAAACCTATGCATCACAATAGAGAATAACCAAAAGTTACAGCACCTGTTTTCCAGCTGGGACTTAGTTTTGCAATCTGAATTTTTATCAACAAGCCCAGTAATATCCAGGCTGCCAACAGAGATCTTCTGAAAGCAGAAAGAATCCAAACTCTGCATGGGAATAATCTCAAGTTCTAAAATGAAGTCTATCAAGGCATTTTAGCCTCTGAGTTTGTTTTTCTCTTTTGTGTTTGAGAAACAAGACCATGCATTTTTCCTTACAGATGAAATTAGGCATGGCTGACCTCAATGGGTAGCAATTGTGCCCTTCTTACCAAGAAAACTACATGTGCCAGGCACTAGCAGGCAAGAGGCTGCTCACTGTCATCTGGTAGATGATGGGATGGAAAGAACATGTCAGATTTGAAAGCCAGGCCAATATGCCAGTGCCTCAGCAATTATCGTGCCCATCTGCTCCTTAGCTTCCAAGCTTCTGTGTGTACACCTAGGCTGAGAGATAGACACAGAGAGAGAGAGAGAGAGAGAGAGAGAGAGAGAAAGAGAAAGAGACAGACACAAAGACAGAGAGAG